TAGATTTATATACATCTGCTTGTGATATGTCTTCTACAACTTCTCGTGTCATTTTGACAACAAAAAATGATTTCGTTGACGAAATAAATGATATGCTAATAAGTCAATTTTTAGGTGAATCTAGGACATATGTAGCGTTTGACGAAACTATTGAAACTACCGACCAAAGTCAATATGAAGATTTCTTGCATACTTTACACCCAGCTAGCTTGCCTCTGTATAAATTAACTGTGAAAAAGAATTGTCCCGTTATTTTACTGCGTAATTTAAATCCGTGTGAAGGTTTATGTAATGGTACACGACTTATATGTTGTAATTTCGAAAGACATGTGATAAGTGCTAAAATTGCAAGTGGTGACTTGAAAAACACACATGTATTTATTCCCAGAATACCTTTGTTGTCTTCACAAGATGAAAACCTGCCTATTCCTTTCAAAAGAACACAATTTCCTATTAGATTATGTTTTGCTATGACAATAAATAAAGCTCAAGGTCAGACGTTAGATTTTGTTGGAATTTATTTACGAGAGCCTGTTTTTTCCCACGGTCAGCTTTATGTTGCTTTATCACGAGCAAAAAACTCAAGTTCTGTGAAATTATTGATCCGACCACCAACACCTGATAGCAACGATGATCATACAACATACAATGTAGTATATGATGAAATCATTCAAGCGTCTCTCTTGTGAATTAACAGTAACACTATGAGCAATCACTTATTTGAGATTTGATGTACATCTGACTGATATCCTACAAAAAATTGATCCTCAGCATCTACAAATTGGATTGATATCACATAGATGTTAACTGAGGTGTCTCTGCATCTTGAATCCTTGCTTCACTAAAGATCCTAAAGATGGAATACTACTTGAATATTGCACTAACTATCCGGTAAGTAATTTTTTTCTTGAATATACATCTAATACTTGAAACCTTGCTTTGATTAATAATTTTGCGTGTGCATCTATATGTTTACATGTTTGCCTATTTCTGGACAGATTCCAATAGTATACCAAATAAAATTCTTCTTCTTCTTTAGCTGTTGAAAATATGATATCTCCTTATCTTCTCCAGAATGAATGAAAGAGCTTGGCTTAGTTTCTGCAATGGAGATCTAAAATGAATTCGTTCAATATCAACTTACTTCAGATAATATTCCACAAAACTACTTGATGATTCCAAGGTAAGTTTCTCTTAAATAGTTTTAACATGTTATTTGACGAAATTTTCTAAATTGTTTGAGTTCTTTAGAAATGAATGACATCTTAATATTTTCATTTTACCTTTTCAGTTTCCCTTAACTGTATAATTTCTTTTGCTGAATACTTCTGTAGATCCTGAAGACATATTTGAAAAAAGAACTGTTATTCTCGCAGCTTCTTGCCATTATTGGTTGCAATAATTCTGCTAGCTTTAGGTTTGGGCGTCATTCAGTGTAGACATAAAAGAACAGAGAGTTCAATGCTAAAAAAGATAAAATAAAATATACTATTTTTGGTACTTGGCAACCATAACCAGATAATCAAATAGTATTGTTCTCTAATTGTTTAGTTTTCTTATCAACTTTATGGTCTAAATTCTCTACTTGTATAAACATATTGCAGGAAAATTGGCCCACAACCATAACAAAGATCATAACAGTTCATTGCTTGGTCTGCTTTCTACTTTGTCACAACCATTTATAATTCTTGATCTGGGTGCAGAGCCTCAAGAAGTCAGACGTTTAGCATGCCAAATAGTAAGTACTTCTGTGATAAATTCAAGGCTTTTTACTAGACTTAAAGTATGTGCATGCATAAACTAAATTTAAGATATTATATCTTATTATTTTTTCAGTTTCTACCCAATTGAAACCTTTTCTGTATGAAAGATTATTTTTCCTGAAAAATATGGCTAACTATGTATAGATACTCCTCTAGATTTCCAACTTAGTAACTTTCATCTTTGCTGGCATCTATAGTTAACTATGATGTTATGTTCTATCCATGATTTGTTGTTCAGTTAGGTGACAAATACTTTGCTGCTATTAACAACAATGAGATAATGCTCTGTGCATTCTAAGATCCAGAATCTATTTCAACAAGGAGACTGATCTTTTAACAAGGTTTAGATAGTTCGCTGCCTTAACAAATTGTTCCACATTTTTTGCGTAAATAGTTGTAAGTAGTGTGTGCCTATGTTTGTGAAGGCAATTAATATTAATTTTTGGATATTGGAGCAGCCTCTAAATGTTTTGCAACAACATATTATACTTGAATGCATGTACATTTTCAAAAGTTTACAACGTTTACCGCATGATGTTTTCCTTTATACTACTGATGTCAACGCTTACTCTTTAATAAAAGATTTACACAAATATCATTTACATAATTTTAATTTTAGTTCAGTTATAAAAGTGTGTGGCCATGTTTAACAATTCACTGCCACTAAAATATTGATAAAAACATTTTTTTTTCTTAAATGAAATATTTATTATCGAACATCACTAAACACTTTAAAGTTTATCTTATATAAACTACGTCATTGAGGGCGGGCTATACATGGGCGACAACCAGCTAGACTACATTAGAAGTCCAAATTAACAAATGAGACAAGCGGTCATTTTTCCTTCAGATTTAGTTACCTCAGTTTGTTATTTGTATAATATTTGTGTTTGTCAAAGCTACATTTTCAGACAGAAGCTAAAAGCTAAAGAGCTTCAACGCATCTTATGATAACTTATGATAGAGTCAAGCTATGATGGAGTCAAGGTAATGTCCAATAGATTGCCTTTATCTCAGGTTTGTTGAGAAAGTAAATTAATTTCTTAAATTATCTTACGACCAAGGTTTGCTAGCTATGATTATAATCATATTTATCTGTCTAATATAAATATTTGTTGAATTTCTTCACTATTCAGATAAACAACAAGGTTTAGGTGGACTCATTTGGTCATTTTTGTGCAATATTGGTAACATCGTCTTCTGCCAACTACACTTTCAATCTGTCAAGGTAAGTATATGAGTTCAAAAAAATTCTCACACTGCTACGTTCACGATATGGATAACTGTTCAATATGTTCTAATATGCTATTACTAAATGCTCCACCCTCAGATTGCAGTTATATTAAGCTGCCTTTGTTTAATATGCCTACTCAATTGTGAGATGCTGCTACTCACTCTATGCAATATACTTTTAAGGGCCATGAGACAACTTAACTACCAGATAGACGAGCGTGTGAGCTCTAAGGTTTTTTATATTCGGTGGAAGGCAGGTTGAAACTCTGCCGCAAGCAAGTGAAAGTTGGATAACAAAGGCTAAAGTGTGCATGTACTGAGATTTGAAAAAAAGAGCCAGTTGTAACAACCTGATTACCTGGTAGTCAACGACAATGTATTGGTGCTCTTCTCTTAGGGCTCAAAACAGCTATGTCAATAGTGGCAAGAGAAAGATTCATTACTCAGGTCCGATGCTTAACCTTCTTTGCCTTTCTAATACAAACTTATATTCTTTCATTAATTTTACTCTATCTATTTTTTGGTTTCTTACAGGCTTATTCTTGATTTTTGATTTTCTCTGTTTTCCTCTTGTAGATCACCACTTTTCTGATAGCAATAGCAGAACGGAGAATTGAAATTGAAGAGCTTCAGTATACGTTGCAGCTGACAATGACTATGGAATTCTTAACAAATACTAACTCACCATCAGGAACAGTAAAGATTCAAATTTTATGAAGTGCATCAGTGAGCTGTCATTTCGTCTATATCAAGAACAAGTATATGCGAGCTGACAATGGCAATCCCAATTTATAGTTATTTGTAGACCTTTGTCTTTTTACCTAGCTTATTAACCAAAAACTCATGTGATTTCAGTTCGTTTTATGATGTTTCCCTCTTCCACTGACCTTCAACAACAAAAAAATTCCAACAACCGAACTTCTTATGGTTGAAATCTTACGGTATGTGCTTGAATTTGTTCAGGATGTTCTTCAGCTCATTTTGTCGCTGTTGCAAAAAAAATACTAGCTAACACGTGAAGATGGTTTATTATGTTGAAAGCAGAGGTTTTTCTATGTGGGTCAACTGAATTGTCGTTTACTTCTTTACTGTGGTTCAATATTTTAGTCATTGTCACAACTTCGTTATCAATCATTTACAAATTCAGACGACTTGCACAAACAAAATTGTGAACACATTTTTTGTTCAAATTGATCTAATTGGTCCATACCAAATCTTAATTTAATATCCAACATTCTAATACCTATCACAATAATTCTCGATAATTAAATTCAATCCAAAACTTCAAAGACCAATAGACGTGCGTCTATTGTGTTTTTAAAATTCCTTCAAACAAACCATTCCAAACTAATAACAAATATGCAACGAATATTTAATTTTTTACAACTCAAATGAAAAAGTAAAAGGAGAAGTAAAGTCTAGCATATGATGTATATTTATTTAACTTCTAAAATACGATACTCATATAATGTTCGTATTTTCTAGCACATGGAATGCAAATAACGTACATTGGCCTCTCAACTGGATAAAAAAAATGGATATAAAGTGGATAAGTGCACCATTTTGTAACAAGTTATAAGGACTTTAGTTTAGATGCTTGTCAATCGATAGATCCTATCCCTGCAACTGACCACTGTTGGGATCAGTATAATTTCTTGCTTTCTGTCAGAGCAACATATTTTATTTTTTGAGTACTGCTGAAGGGTTAAATCACTTTTGGATTTACAATTATACTTCTGCGAAAATGAAGTAGCAAGCATAATTGCTCAAAAAATTGATACTTTAGCTCTAAACTGCCCCGTGCAACTTCTTTTGAATCTACTGCTTCAAATAATCATAGAGGATATATGAAAACTTTAAGGTTATTGGGCCCGGGCATAGCCCGGGCTAATCGTACCTAGTATTCTATAAGAGAGAGTTAACAGGTCTCCGTCAACATGCCTGCTTGTGCTAAGTGGGTATCTTGGTCATTTTACATTACATTCTCTTAATCTATAACAGAGAGTTATCTCTAACCTTCCTTGTGGATTTCAAATTACGAAAAAAATCAGAAATATTCAGCTCCCAAGTATGCAGCCTTTTGGAATTCCGTTTCATTCCTTAAGAGATCAGGTTTCCCAAATTGCTTCTACTCGGTCTGCTGACTCACACTCCTGAGAGAACGCCATCTGCTGTTTTTGCTTTTGGGTCGGTGGGCAATTTCAGATATTACTTTTCTTCCCCTACAATTTTCAATCAGTTTACACTCTGTTTGTTGTTTAGTTTCGCTCTGTTCTTCGGCTTTGTTGCTGCTACTCTTCTGATCACTTCCAGGTGAGATCAATTTATCCTATACTATTTCCATTATCTCCGTGCTCTTCTCTTTCTACGTGGTAGCTTCTGCTTTTCTGTTTTAGCCTCTGCCTGTTGGTGTTTGAGAAAACTATTCAACGAATTAGGCTTTTCTTTTGCACCAGGGTGTACTGGTCAAATTTGAGGCGAAGCATTTAGACATTCCTTAAATTTTTGAACTAAAAATTAGCAAGAAATTACGTTGAACTACAAAAAATTAAAATCTTGGAGGAGAAAAAATGAAGATTAAAAATATGAAGAAAGACTAAAATTGCAGAAGGAAAACGATAAAATAATTTGTAGGAGCCTTTTGATTAAGTGATACAGTGCATTTGGACTGATGTTCCAGCTTACCTGTAGAGCAAATGAGTTTGCTTTTCAAATTTTCATAATTATTTAAATTTTACTACTTCATATTGCTCTATTTCCATCTCTCTGTAATTTGTTTTGCTTCTTCAAGTTTGCCCACAAGTTTAGTTGGTACAAATCCTTACAAGTCTCACTTACCTTAAATCATTCGAAGTTTTGTCCTTTCTTGAATCTTCTTACTTTTTCTTTAAGTTGTTCCTGAAAGAAATTTAAAGAAAGGAATTTCAGAAGACATGATATTATAGTTGGTGATAATTTAGAAGTATTTAATAAAGGAAACCGGAGCAAAAAATTAGCACTAAATACCTGTTGAAACCTTTTTAACTACTTTATATTGGAGAAATTCTTTTACATGGTGATTTCCATGAAACTCATCTTAAATTATTGAAACGTGTAATTTTTATAGTTCAGATGATCATTGGCTTTTAGCTCTGAGCGGAGTGACATTAACCTGATGGCTTTTATGAATATTCAGACAATGGATTTTTAGCGAAAATGTGGTTTGCTTATTTTGCTTTAATGACTGATGCACACTGTTTGCAGGTTTCTGGAATTAACATCTGATTACTCTATCTAACTACTCCGTCTTTACGAGGTAAGCTAATAGAAAGCATCAGTTCCCCACCAAATTATTCAATTTTGCCTTTCACTTGATATCTTTTTGGAGAAAGGGTGTAGTTTATTTTTTAATACTGCTTACATTGGATGAGTATAGATGTCGGGGGATAAAAAAGATGTGCCTATATCACGTTCAGGACAAAAGAACAAAAGTCCATGCTTGGCAGATAGAAGTGTTGAAATGAAATTCAATCGCCGTAAAAAATATAAGGAAATATCAACAGATAGTAGGGGTGTTCAAAACCGATCCGAAACCGAAGACCGATCCGAACCGAAGCTTAATGGCTTACTGGTAACGGCTTAACGGACGGGGAACGGATTGGATTTTTTTTATTAACGGCTTATCGGTTTGGGGGCGGATTATTCAATTTTCTTAATGGATAATCCGTTAACCCGTTAAGAATATATATATAATTTATTTTTTATATATATATATTAAATATAAAAAAACTAAAACCCTTGAAAGTGATTAACAAAAACAAAAGGCCGTCTGTTCTGTTCTGTCTCTAAACAAAGTAACAAACCCGTCTGGATTGGTTACGAAGTTTGTCTCTGTAGTGTTTTGTTCTTGATCTTTTTTGGTGTGTATATATGCAAACAACTGCTGCCAATACCTTTTTAGTGTTTGTATATGGATGAAGTACTATGTTCTCTCTTTTCATACTTTCATTTTGGTTTTTCTTCAATTAGTCATGTTACTACTACTAGCCTTTTGGTCTTTGCCTAGAAGAAGAATAAGCTGCATTTTTGGTGATGCATGGTTTATGAGTAAATCTCTGTTGAAGTAATCTAATATTCATTCAAATCTATTATCTCTGGCAAAGCAAATTGAATGCATTATATTGCCTCTGAAATGTTATTTTTTTATGGCAATTCATTATTTCTAAGACGGGGAGAATGGGAGATATTTAGTGAATATGTATGTTAGGCCGATAAACCGCCTGATAAGAGCTAAACCGATACCAATCCATCTGATATCTTATCGGGTGGATAACGGATTAATACATTTAAAAGCCGATAACCGTTAAGCCAAACCGTTAAGAGTAAAAAGCCGCCCAATCCGCCCGATAAGCAGCCCTAGCGGATAGAAAGGAAGCATTATTGTTAAACCGCCGTACGAAGGAACTCGATTCAAGAAAATGTCTTCTAGAAAGTCGTACTCTGGATAACTCAGTCAAATCAACATCTCTAAGTAATTCGATGCTTCAAAGGGAGAGTGCTCTCATAATAAGAGATTTTTCTCTTACTTCAAATCAAGGTTAGCAAATTTAAACTAAATATGTTTCACGCGTCTTTATTAGCTGCTAAATGTGAAGTTAGTACTTTACCTGCTGCTTATGCGAAAGGAAAAAGTTTAGTTGGTCGTTTTTCCATCTTCGAAACAGGCGAGTATATGAAGCATATTATTTTAATAAAATTTCTATTGTCGCAAACCATTTACTTATGTAATTCATAATTGCGTCTATATTAGGATCCACATCAGGTACATCTAATGACCGATGTGGTGTTGGTTCAGAGAATGTAGCAAATAGAGGTTTGTATCACTCTCAAGTTAGAATAGTATTCATTATCTTCCTTTGGAGTGAAAATTGACTCCTAATTATTTCCGTAATATTCAGGAATTAGACTACATACAAGAGCCCCTCTGCGCGTTATTGGTTCATAAACCGAATATGTTGCTCTCAAAGTTGTCCCAAACTGTAAATTTTGTGCTGCAAAAAGATTTGGATATGAACCCCCTGGATTCTGTTGCAATAAAGGTTCAATCAAACTGACTTCACATGAAATGCCTATGGAGCTACGAGAATTATTTTTGGGTACTACTGAAGAGTCTGACCATTTCCGAACATATGTTAGGACATACAATAGCATGTTTGGATTTACTTCACTCGGGGTAAAATATGACAAAGACTTAGCTAAGAGAAATCATGGTATCTATACATTTAGAGTTCAAGGAAAAATGTATCACTTTATAGATGATTTATATCCTGCGAACGAGAAAGGAAGAAATTTACAGTTATACTTCTACGACAATGAAAATGAGTTAGCAAACAGAACTGCTTGTTCAACTAGAGTACATGAGTCAATGATCAGAAAATTGATGAATGTACTACAAAATAATCCGTATAGTGTTTTCTTGAAATCTTTGGCAGATGTTCCGGAATTATCGAACTTTTATATTGCGCTCAAATGTGACTCAGGTTTAGATCAACGAGTATATAACTTACCTACTGCATTTGAAGTTGCAGCAATAATGGTGGAAGAAGGCGCTCATATTTCAGTTTGCAAAGCCTATATGAGTTCTGTTATATGGATTTGCAAGATAAATTTCATGCTTTGAATGTTCTCACTCTTGAACTTATACTGACATTTCTGTCTTCATGTGACGCTTGTATCTAAATCTACTTCACTCGCTCCACCACGAAAGAAAGGGATGCGTCTTCTTTGTGCTTATTACTCATTTTATTTAACAAAATTTCGTTCCTACTATTGAGCTAACTTGATTTTATAATGTTTCTATTAGCTGTTCTGTTCAATGAAACTCTCTGATGTGCTCTCTCGACAAATTTATCTTACGCAGTAATGGTGCTCAAAAGTTGTTGGATATCGTGGTTGTTATTGCTGAGGCACTTACTTATGTTCTCTCATGGATGTATGGCAGTGTTAGCCAATTGGGTGTTGGAAATGCTATCCTAATTATCCTTCAACTCTTCTTGGCTGCTATCATCCTTATGTGCTTAGATGAACTTCTTCAGGAAGGATATGCTTTTGGCTTCTGGAATTTCCTTGTTCATACCTACCAATATCTGGTAAGTTTGTTACGGGCCACCACAAAGAATGTCTTGGGTTCCTCAATACAATCTTGGAGCTTTTGATTTCTCGTTTGTTATATTTTGCAGTGAAAACATTATCTGGAAAGCCTTTAAGATCAGTGCTATTCGAGAGGCGTTCTATCAGCAAAGTCTCCCCAATGTGACAAATCTGCTTGCAACTGTGCTGATCTTCCTTCGTGATGCTAATGAAAAAATTATGCTAACACTGTGATACAACTCAACCCACGTAATGTACACTTAACCATCAAGTTAGTCTCATTTGAACTTTCAAACCTATTGTACTTGCAATTTATGATTCAGCTGTTTAGCAAATAATGTTCGGAGTCTTGAAAAAGAAGAAAATAGAACATTAAAGTGATAAATTATGAGTAAGATACCGCCATATTGTTATCTCCTTCTACTTCAAGAGAGAAGATGAAACTGTAGATAAGCAGTAAGTTAATGAAATGATCAGAACAATAGACTACTTTTTGACCTGTGAATCTTTTGTGTTTGCATATCTTTCCACACAAAGTCGTCATTAGAGATTTCTCTGGTATTTTGTATAATGGTAATTCCAACTTTGTGGGATTACGCTGCATTTGTTGTGAAAGAGTTCTTAAGGACTCATGACCTTATGTTGTGATGTATAGTTTTCAAATTTACAGTTTTGGAGGAAACAAATTATACTACATTCAGAATTGGTTAATTGGGAATGAGATGAAGTTATTCAAATGGGAAAGATAAGCAATAAATACATATAATATCTTGACTTTCACATAGATGCCGGGATAGAACTTAGTTATAGGTTTGAATGCGAGGATATGGCTCTCAGATTGCGCATAAACTAAACATGTAGGTACATGCTACTCACCTTAATTTCAATTTTTTTTACACAGGACAAACACAAGGCCTACATCAAGTGCTACTCAGTTCACATGTAAGAGTATATTCTCATGATTTCTCACAAGATACTAGAGTGTTTGACTAGGTGTTTGTTCTTTTCACCATAATTTAGATCTACTAAGAGGGTATCTATGAATTAAATAATCAAGTGAAAGATGTAAGAGTCTTCTGTGGAGAGTGGTTCCCAAAAGAAAACGGACTTGAGTCCGGTAAGTGACTGCGGTGATCAATCCAACAGTAGCTATGGTTGAGAAAAAGGCATAAAAGAATGCAAACAAGTTCACCTAAGGTTCGTATCTGCTGATCTTGTGAGATTATACACTGCATCAAAGTTTCTGATTAAAAAACCTAAGGTTTAAAGCCATGAAGGCCATGGAAGCTGATGTGAAACGTGATCTAATCGTAAAAACAGAAAGAAAAATACACATTATGGTCCTTTGTTCAACTTTGTCACATTAATATTTTTAATAGTTGAAACAATAGCTAGATAATCATATACTTTTTCTCCAGCATGTTTGTTGATCAGGTTTGTCAAATTGCTCCTACTCAATCAGCTGATTCACACACCCTATAAAGGCCATCTGGTATTTTCGCTTTTGGGTAAATGGTGGGCAATATCGATTTCACTTTTCTTTCCCGTACGATTATTCAGGTCACACTGTTTATCTTTCTGTTTAGTTTCACTCTGTTCTTCGAGTTTCTTGCTGCTACAAATTTGCGTTTGATCACCTTCGGGGTGAGATCAGTTTATACTGTAATATTTCCATTGCCTCCATGCTCTTCTCTTTCTGTGTATGTAGCTTCTGTGTTTCTGTTTTAGCCTCTACCCTTAGGAGTTCAAGTACAATGATCAAATTTGAGGCGAAGCATTTAGACATTCCTTAAATTATTTAACTAAAAATTAGCAAGAAATTACATTGACCTACTATATATTAATATCTTGGAAGAAAAAAAATAAAGATAAAAAGTATGAAGAAAGATTAAAATTGCATAAGGGAAATGGTAAAATAATTTATAGGAACCTTTGATTGGGTGATACAGTGCATTTGAACTGATGTTCCAACTTATGTGATGATGAAAATGTATAAATTGTTCGAAATATATATGCTTACGGATAAAAAATCCCACAACACCAACTTGATGACATTAGCAAATAAGATTGTTATAATGTAATCTAAATGAACTCTGCCAATATCTCCATTCTTTCTAAAAGTCGCGTATTTTTTTTGCTTTTGCTCATCTATTGGTAGGGACTGTGTAAACACCGTGCTCTTCAACTGAAGTTTCTGTGTGGAATTGGCTACTGTCCTGTTGGTGCCCTCTCATTGGTGATAAACATCTTCAGTAAAATGTGTCCTATTACTCATTTCAAGACTTCTCAAAATCTCTTCGGAAACAGAACAACACAGGCTTATCTTATTCAGACCATTGTGTACAATAATGGCAGTGATGAATGTAAGATGAGGCATCTTCTCTGGTTTGACCCTACTCTGGACTTCCATTGTGTACTATAATTTCAACAAAAAGTTTCATGTTGAACAAATTTACCTAAGCACAACATATTTGAGATTAAGGTATAGTTAATGACGATCAATACTCTTTTGAATGCAGATTTTTTGTGAAAAAGGTTCCGATAAGGGTATACAAGAACGCGAATTAGACGAACAATTTCTTTTCCAATTGAGAGGCCAATGTAAGTACTTTCTAGCACATGGAATGCAGATAGCTTCGCTACTATAAGAGGCTTGGACAAGATAAACAGTTTATCATAAACTGCACAAGTGCACCATTTTGTAGCATGTTATAAGAATTTTAGTTTAGATGCTTGTCAATGGGAACCCCTTGTCTCTGCTCGTGTTTCCACCACTATCCACTGTTGGGATCAGTATAACTATAATGCTTGTTGCTTTCTGTCATAATCAAGGGTCAAACCAGTTTTGGACTTACAGTTATACTTTTGCAACAAATAAAGTAGCAAACATGATTGCTCAGAAAATTGATACTTCAGCTGTAAACTGCTCCATGCAACTTCTTGAATCAACTGGTTCAAATAATCATAGAGGAGATGCGAAAACTTTACAGAGGTTCTTATCATGTACAAGGTAGAAAACTCTCGAATTTCAAGTGTTTGATAGATGTTCCAAAACTCTAGAGTTCATCTAAAGTTCTTTCGTAAATGATATTTGCTCACTATCCCGTTTTCTCATTTCTGTGCTACAATGTATTTCTCTGTTTTATGACTTTTATCTACTAACAGTGAAGCCATTGTTGTAAACATTTCGTTTAGGCAGTGAATTTGCACTTTCACAATTGAGAGATCATTGATATTAAAGTTCTTTTTTACTTCTGAAATTATAGTTATTTCTATAGGGTAATTTGTTGTTGTTTGGAGATTTAAACAATTATAGCCGGAATGTATTTATGGACAATAACTGGTATTAGCCCAAGTTTTCATTACATTTCTTAGTGCTTGCAAGTTTTTTCAGGGGGTTTCACTTTTTTAAGTTTTGAAAATTCATAGAGTTTCACTTATATAAGTATTGAACTTCAAAGAGACATGGTCTCAAAATTTTATTCATTTAAGTTCGAACTTCGGGACATAATCCTAGAGTTTGACGTGCAACAATTTGAAATACAGTTAATATATCAGAATGTTGCCTGATGGTTCTATTTTTTCCATTCTGATAATTTGTATTACACACATGTGCTAGGATGTTTTTTACTTGTGTATTTTTCAGATTAGCTTCTTGTCTCGGCCATGAGGCAAAAACATTCTACTTCCTAATAACACAAGTATTAGGGAACTGGTAGAATTGTAGCACTTTGTACTCTTCGTTTTTTGAAACATTTTGAATCAAATTGTATAGATTTCTTCCGGCGTTGTCTCATGACTTGTAAACAAAAGTTTTTTATGTTAAATAAAAACTAATAAGGTTCTTGGGCCAGGGCTACTACCTCCAACTAGTATATATTCCTACTATTTAGAAGCGAGGGTTAAAAGGCCTCTTCGTCGTCCTGCTTGCTGTTCAAAAGGGTAATTTCGGGATTCCGTTTAAATTGTACATCTCGGAGTGTTGTGCATAAATGTAGGCGTGTCAGAATTTACTTTTTGGGGTGACATTTTGCCCTTGGTTTAGCCTTTTATCACTTTAGTTTACCTTTCAGAATTTGTAATATCAACCTCTTTTAGGGCCTTCTTGGTAAATCAATGTTTACCCTCCCCAACACCTGTCACCATCTTCATCTTCTCTCTGTCTATCCTTGTTCTCTGTATCATCTTTCCTTTGCTCCAGTAGAAGAACCGTCTTCAACTTCATCGGTTAATGGTTGGTTTGCCATTAGGTTGTTCTACAATTTTAGTAAATAGACAAAATTTTTGTTGACACATGAAACTGCAAAATCAAATCGTTTGAGTTTCTTCTAATATCTTTTAAGTGTGGCAAAACAGCTCAACAGGTTAGCCCTATTTTACTGCTCATGTGACATCTTTTTCAGCTTATCAAGTCTGAGATATTAAAATAGCTTTGAAGGGGATCCTCCAAATTAGGGTACTTCTCTAGAGCCCCCAAGAATCGCAGTAGATAAATCAGTGGAATTTTCATATGAAGAACTTGCTAACAAAACCAACAACTTCAGTCTGTTTACTATGCAGAGTTAAGAGGCGAGGTTCGTTGTTATTCTTTTTGATTGAAATGATTAACAATTACTTATTTGGATGCACAGATTGATCAGCAGCTTTGTTGGGGCTGCTTTGTTATGTCACTATCTCGTCATTCACATAATCGTCTGGTTCAACAGAATGTCAAATCTACCTACAAGTGCAGGAGCTGATATATTTCCTCAGCTTTTTGTGCTTGAAATGCAGAATGGCAAACAAACGATCCAACAAGAAGCATTAGGGGCATTGGCTTCTTTAGCCCAATCTGCTAAGGTATTAAATGGTGCATTTATTCCTGACCCAGTGCTATTTCTACTTAATATAATGAACCATTAAGGCTAAATATTATGCATCAGTAGGAGCACTGCGGAACCTACGGTAAATTCTTTGTGAAAATTTTTGAGGAGCTGACATTATTTAGTGTAAAGACTGACAAAAAGCTACATTTCCTAGAAACAACGTTAAGCTCTTGCCTTTCCTGCTGCAATTTTATACCTGCATGATGGTGCCCAAGCTTTGCAGGTGAATGTCATGTATTTGTTATCTCTTTCGTCTACCTCTTCTTTTTTATTAGAGAATAATGAATTATTTAACCTTCTTGTTTCATTCTATATCATGTAGTTCTTTTGGGATATTTATCATATTCACGTGAATGTGTTTGCTATAATCAGCCCAATGAATTTGGTAATCAGTTTTTGAGCTCTTTAACTTTGTGGCAGAGGTTTTCATCTTGGTTACTTGTCAATGGCATGACGTGGTAGGCATAAAAGAGGCAGCCAATTATACCAAGTGTGGTAGTAAGAACCTCTCAAATGACTGAATGGGTATTCTAGAAATATGGCATTTCTGTGTCCTCTTCCACTCGAAAAAAATGAATTGACGATTTAACATATGGCATCATAGGAAACTGATGATTTCTGTCTAAATTTGTTAATTATTTCATTTGGCCCTGCACTATGAAGAATATCTTGGATGAACTCTTAACTCCAACATGAAAAACTGATATACTGTTTCAATATTTTTTTGGGAGAATTTCTTGTTGCCATATCCATGTCAGGCCCATATCTCTGAACATTCTGTGGGTTGAATCATGTATATTGGTTGGTCCTTTGCTACTTCTACAAATCATACCATCCACAGATGATAACAATTTGGCATGATATCTTCCTTGTACAAAGTGCTTTGAGCTCATCAGTCTAAAAGATTCACCCTTGTATGCATTTAAATCGTCAATGTGTTTAATATATGACTCAGTAGTAAAAAAACTATAAGGGTATCTCAAGCACTGTCAGTGTAAATATATCTATCAGCTTAAATCTGATGCGACAAACTCGCAGGCTTGTAATTCTTATGTGGATCCCGCAGCATTCCTAGCTGCTATCGAATCAGGAACTGTAAGGGTACAACTTCTCCACATAATTATTTCTATTTTAGTTCATAGACAACATAATACAAAATAGTTCAGCACTATGAATACAAACTACATAACCTCAAATACTGCTTCATTAAGAGTTAACAAGTTCCTTTTTGTAATTCATCATCAAGAAAAAGTTTTCTTCTACAGGTTGAAATTGGAAACTATGACTCATTCTATGACGTGAGATTGGTCTTCCATCTTGAGCAGCTATCAAGAATTATATTTTACAATGAATACAACTATAATGTGTTGTTGACAAAAATAGTTGACCATCCACCCCTCCCCAGACCCATATCCCACCAGGTTGTTGTTGTTGTTGACAAAAAACACTTAAGATTTAACTATAGTTTCAACTGTGAAAAAGCTTTGATATTTTGATCAAATTAATTTCAACTAATTCTGCAAATGTGTGTTCTGTTCTTAATATTTGATGTCAATTTTATTTTGAGTATAAACTTTGACAAAAGGTGGCAAGGTCGAAGCCAATGAGGCATTCATCGGTGTACGCTTCTTATGAGAGAAATTTTTTTCCACCCGGAAAGTAGAAGATGCATGGTAAGATCCAGAAGAATAGTTGTGAATCTTATACCCTTTTTTAAGAATATTTGATTTAAATTTCTTTGCCTAACTCTATATGTTCCATTTGATTCGTATGTAAGTTTATCACTTTAAGTAATATGTTCTATCCGATAGCTACGGAATACCAATTAAAGTTAAGGAGCTATAATTTCTATTTGATCATTATCAGTCTTCTTATTTTAGTTGTTACAAATACAATATTTCGATTATTTATATAGGTTTCATTTCAGAGAAAAATGATTCTGCGAGGTAACATGCGAAGTTGCCAAGGTGAATATGCGTACTCGAAAAACGATGAGGATGAAAAGGATGACAGCAATAATTGAATCATTTATTGTGTGCAAGATATAATTCATGATTCACTTTCATTTGCAATTTACAGTCTCTCTGTTATGAATATTTGTCGTAGCTAATTTATCTCAATGGCACACTACAACCAGTTGGAGGCCACCTTAGTTGATGCAACAGTAGCAATATGTTTGATAATTTTGGTTCAATGTGACGGGGTCTTGAAAAGCTGATTGCAATAGCGAAAGACAATATACGCTTCCTTGGAAATGTGCCGCAACAGAAAAAGCACAAAATTTGCAAGAATCTTAATGTTAAGTTGCGTGACCAACTCATTTGAGGCTATGACTGAATCTGTAGATTGAGACATGTAGCTCTTCCGATAGAGGAATCAAATCAAGCACAAGTAGTATCACTGGAAATTTCCGATAAATATTGAGTGGTTTGACTAAGCATATTCAGTACTACAGGAAGACACCTTCAAGAGTACTCTTTCTTTTTTGGGAAACAATGGCATTTCTAAACTGCTTCTTTCTGCCTTTTTGTTGGTATTTACTGCAGTAAATATTCAATTTTGGGGTTTTTAGGAGATGGGTGAGAATGTATAATCAGTCAATGTGCTGCTTCTGCCGTCTAATTTTATAAACAAGAAAAAATCATTTTTATCTGAATTTCCTCTTAAAAATGATAAAAGAATTATATTTGATGAAGTACTTACAAGTGATTAGAGAAGTCTATGACAACTAATGCAATTTTAATTATTCATTATTGATACACTGTCTATAAATTCGCATTCTAGGTTTTTTTTTTCTTTCAGTTGTTTTGCTATAGGAAATGGCGTAATAGCTGCTTTGGTTTGTTGAGTAAAGCACGAGTAATGAAGCCGCTTAGCCAACCCACATCTACCGCAGCGCGCGCACGGAAACAAACATAGAGAGAACTTTAGAAAGTTGATTTTTCTTCCTCAATAGGCAAGCAATTGGATGAAACAAACATAGAGAGAACTTTAGAAAGTTGATTTTTCTTCCTCAATAGGCAAGCAATTGGATGAAACAAACATAGAGAGAACTTTAGAAAGTTGATTTTTCTTCCTCAATAGGCAAGCAATTGGATGAGTTCTGAATCTTCTGATATCACTTGCTCTCTTATGTTCCTTCTTTTTTGTAGAAAATTTACCTTTTCTATTCTTACCTTTATCCGACTTGCATCTCACTGGTTACATGTTTCTGTTGTAAAGATCTTATTATTCCCTATCCTTGCAAATGTGTACATAATATGTTTATTTGTTACAAATGGATGGTGAAGCTTAACTCCTTGCCGAAGGACTATTACATGTAACTTTTCTTTAGGATTATCTAATTGTTTACCTGGCATGAAACTGTTTTCTCTTGTAGCTTTCGAATAGAATCTGTTATTTTCTCTGTGATTATAATTTTTTTATATGTTCTGCTTTTCCCGAGATTCATGGAGAGCGCAAGTGAAGCAAACTTCAGATAAGCATGTCATTATAAAAACTGAATTTTCGAATACGAGGACTGAAATTCTGTTGTTTATGTTAAAGATATGTGACTATGATTTTCCAAATAAGCTTCTTCGGATAACATTGCCCTTGTCTTAATATTGGCATCTTCTATTGTGGGAACTCATGCGTCAATTATATTTATTTATTTATTTATATGACTTGTGCTGTACTTTACTGCATGACATTGTCCTTATCTTTATATATTTGTTTTGCTGCTTTTTATTTTTATTCATACATGCTCTATCTCATTTTTTTCTTTAATCATTTGGCAGTAGATTTTGAAGGAAAAAATGTATACAATGGAGAAATAGTTGGAGGAATTGAGGAAAAAGGTTCGTTATATGAAAGGTGAAAATGGGTCGGAAAGTGAAGCAGGTTTTGAGAGAACTATAGGAGATTTAGGTGGCCATCAAGAAGAAGATTAATTATTGTGAACTGTTTCCTTCTGGCTTCTGTATAGGTTTGTTTTATATTTAGGTGGTAGAATGTAGATCTTATTAGATATTACTACGTCTTGTTGTTGTATTGTTAGCTTTTGATGTGTAGTAGTATCAGTGGCGGGCCTAGGATTTTGTGCAAGCGGGTTCAATCTTAGAAATACATAACTTTAGTCGTACAATAGTAGTTGTCAAGTGGGTTCAAATAAAATATTTATATAAAATTTACGCAGCTTTAATTGTAATTTATACATATATACAGTATTATTTTTTGATGAAGCGGGTTTAGTTGAACCCGTTTGCCACCACGTGCGTCCGCCACGGAATAGTGTCAATACTAATCATCTGATCCGACTAATAAAATTTGTTGATTTTGATTAATTTTGAGTTACATTTTTTGTTTCACCTTTTCTAAGAAAATATTTTTGGCACTCGATTTGATTGGGATCTCTTCAAAATTCATTTTCAGTAATGAAAAGAGGAGCATAAAATCTTTATCCAATTTTGTCATTTTTACATGTCCTAAAATAATCCGTATTCAATAATAAATGTCGAAAAAAGCCTACATGTCCAACTTCTAAAGATCTTTTCAATGAACTACTAATAAATATTGACTTGTAATATTGCTGCTAGGGATTGCATCTCAAATAGTAGGTTGTTAGCTTGAAACTCATGCATCTCAACTCCACCAATTAATCTTAGTAGACTATAATAACAAAGAGGATACAAATTCCTAACTTATTATGTTCGGGCCCGGGCTCAGCACGGGCCATACCCTACTAGTAATGAAATGGGAGCGGATGGTATGCCTACCACGAGATATAATGAAATGGGAGCGGGTGGTACGCCTACCACGAGATATAATGAAATGGGAGCGGGTGGTACGCCTACCACGAGATACATGAAATGGGATCGGGTTGCACGCCTGCAACGACATATGTACTGACAGTGAAACCTGATTTTATTTCCCTTATCCGTGTTAGATTTAAATTATTGATGTTCTTTATTATTCTCTTGATATTCTGTTTTACCTGTTATCCCCCGAAGCATGTTTCCCCCTCCCATCATTACTTGCTTATAGTTGCTTTACTTTCTGCTGTAATTTATATAACTGCACAAGTTTATTTGATAGTCTGGTCCTAGCCTCGTCACTACTTCGCCGAGGTTAGGCTAGGCACTTACCAGCACATGGGGTCGGTTGTGCTGATACTACACTCTGTGCTCTTTTGCACAGATCCAGGTATTGGACAACATCAGTAGTTGGAGGGCTTCCTTCAGTCCACACGGAGACCCAAGGTAGACCTGCAGGCGTTCGCGGGCCCTGGCGTCTCCCTCTATCTTTATTCCCTGTTTCATTTTCTTTGTTTCAAAAACAGCTTATTGTATTTTCCTTCGGACTTTGTTTGTAGTGACTCTTAGACAGTCTGGGACACTGTGACACCATATCTTGGGTAGAGGCTTATGTTGGATTTCCGCATTTTCTATTCAGTTTTTTAATTTAAGACTTCCGCTTTATTATTTAATTCCATTGTTGCATGTGATTGCTGATATTTGCTAAAAGAGGTAATTTAAGGTTTGGCTTGCCTAGCTCCCACTAGTAGGCGCCATCACGACTCCCGAGGGTGGGAATTCCGGGTCGTGACGTAAGGAGTTTTCTCCCTTTGGAACCCCATTCCCTGCATGTTTCCACCATTATTGACGTACATGGCAGTGATAGCTTCTGAAGACCAAGTCCACTTTAGGGACTTTTCAAGATCATTTTTTATTCTTTCCAGTTCAGTCTGGAGATGCTTGTTTTTCTCAGATTCAACATACAGACTAGTTCTCACGGCCTTCAATTCGTTTTCAAGCCTAATGTGTTCCTCACTTGCTACCTCTTTTCCTTTTCCAGAATTTCCAGGTTTTGACTCAGTCCCTAGTCCCTCTATTGTTTCCCTCAGGTCTGCAATCATTACCAAGAGATCATCTCTTTCTTCCTCAATCTCAGTCACTCTTTTCATCAAGGCTTCTCTTTCTTTACTGAGGTTTTCAATAGTTTCCTTATGGTCAACAACTCCAGCCACTAAGTCATCTCTTTCAGTTTCTATATCAGCAATTATTTTGGTTAAAACAAATTTTTCTTTCTCCAGCCCACAAATGGTTTCCTTCAGATCAACTACACATACTACCAGATCATCTCTGGTTTGTTCAACTTCTCCTAGCTCTAAGGTCAAAGCATTCTTATCCTCCACAAGACTATGATAGGCAAATCAATACACTAGCTAAAGACATGTGTTTCTTAGGAGAGTAGGACTTCAGATTTCTCTGAACATCCCTGAAATTTACCTCATTGTTGTCATCATCTTCATCATCATCTGATTGGGCCATCAAAGCAAATATTGAATTATAGTCATTTTCCTCACTTTCAACTGCCATCATGGAGCTGTCACCTATATCAGTTTCATCTTCAGACTCATTAGAGGAGTCTCCCCATGCTGCGAGAGCCTATTTCACGACATTGTCAGCAGATCTCTTCCTCTTGAAGTCCTTTTCAGGAATCGGGTTCCTCTTGGCTGCTTTCTCAGGGTTGTACTTGGAGTAATCTTACTTCAGGAGAGGACAATCTTTGATGAAGTGCCCAGGCTTTCCGCACCTATGGCAGAGATCATAGTTCTTTGGTTTGCTAGAGCTGCCCCTTTTCAATATTCCACTATTTCTTCTGACCATCTTCTGAAATCTTTTGGTTAAGTAAGCCATGTCACTGTCCTCCTCACTCGAGTCATTGCTATCAGCTTTGAGTACCAGGTTCTTTTCTTTCTTTGGTTCTCTTCTTTCACTGTCTATCTTCCTCTTCATCTCGTAGGTCTTCAGATTTTCAACCAGCTCGTATATGGTCAACTCCTGCAAGTCCTTTGCTTCAGTAATAGCATTCACCTTGCTTTCCCAAGAACTGGGCAGGATACTGAGAATCGTCCTCACTAGCTTGTTCCTAGGAATGGTTTCACCAAGTGAGTGTAACTCATTTATGATGGAGGTGAATCTTGTGTGCATATCTTGAATAGATTCATCGTCCTTCATCCTAAAAAGTTCATACTCGGTAGTGAGCATATCAATCTTAGATTGCTTTACTTGAGTAGTTCCCTCATGTGCTGTTTGTAGAGCTTCCCATATCTCCTTTGCAGTTTCACAAGCAGAAATTTTATTGTATTCATCAGGTCCTATTCCACATACCAAAATCTTTTTGGCACGAAAATTCTTCTCCACAGCTTTCTTGTCTACGTCGGTGTATTCTTTTCTGGTTTTTGGCATTGAGAATAGAAGTTTTGCAAGTGCCTTTGTTGGGATGTAAGGACCATCACATATGACATCCCACAACTCAGAATCCTCAGCCATGATAAAATCATGCATTCTTGTCTTCCACCACCCATAGTATTGCCCATTGAACCTGGGTGGTCTGTATGTAGATTGACCTTTTTCAAAATTTGGTGGAGCAGCCATACGGATCCTTCCTAGGTGTTAGCCTGATAGGAGGAACCCGCTTTAGTTTATATGAGTCCACCAAACTATAGAGTACCTGGTCCTCTATGAGTTTTCACTGAGAATACTAATGAAACAGTAAGTAACTGAGACACGA